TCGACAACGTCATCACCTTCGTCGTCATCGTCACCTTCACCATCACCGACGACGCCTCGCGCGGCCGCGTCGGCGCTGGGTGCGGGCTCGCCGAGCTCGCCCCGCGGCGGTAGCGGGCTGTCGTTCCTGCAGAGGCTCACCGAAGGGTCGGGCATGCTGCCACAGCGCCGGAGCAGCAGCCCGGTCGCCCACACCCCGCGGGAGCTGCGCCTCGCACAGGCGCAGTCGCAGCAGCCCAGCTCGCCCGCGACATCGACTGCGGCGCCGGCGGCCGAGGACGACGGGCGGAAGGCGGTGGGTCTGGGCATCAGGCGGCCAATGCGGGGCCGAGTCGGCGGCGAGGAGGATGGCGAGGAGGAGCGGGAGCGCAGGCGGCGAGAGCAGGAGGAGATCGAGCGGCTCCAGCGCGAGATCGAGCGAAAGGAGCGCGAGGACAAGGAAGCGAAAGCGAAAGCGGAGAGCGAAAAAGAGAAAGAGAAAGCGAAAGCGAAGGCGCACAATGCCGATCTGGGCGGCGAAGAGATTGTCAAGAGCACTGTCGACACCACCCGCGTCGGCACCGGCGGCGGCGGTGATGATGATGATAGCACGAGCGACAGTGACAGCGATGGCGACGAGATCGTGTTTGACGAGGAGGACGACAGGAACGAGTCGGCGAGGCGGACCAAGGCGGCCCTCGACGCCGTCATGCACAAGCAGGGCAGGACCGGCAGCTTTTGGTCCTCCTTCTTTAAGTGAGCAGCCAAATGCTCTGTTGTTGGTTGTTCGTAGGCAATATGTCGGCACGTGATCAGAGAGAATGTTGGTAACAACCTACACTGTGGCAAGCACATGCAACAACGCCATTGGGAGACCAGCCACAGATATCTAGGGTTGTGCAGGGAGACGTCTTTTATCACTTTTTCTTGTCGACAATAACGGCGAGTTGGTGCCTGTGCGGTATTGGCACTGTTGGCTCCGCAACAGCAGCGAAGAGAGAAGTCGGGCTTCACGGTCGTACTGTGGTACGGCTGCTCAACACAGGACTGGGTTTGAGTTTGGTTCTTTCTTCTTTTGATCCCTCACCAACCACCATTTACACATTTTTTGAACGCATCTTGCAGTTTTTGTTCAAAAATCAAGAGAGATGGAGCTTCCAGTGTTCGACATGGCCCCCTTCCTCACTGCTGGCGCCTCCAGCGATGAAGTGCAGACCCTCTGCCGCCAGGTACCCCTCGAAATCACCTCAAAAACGCTTCCATGGGGTTACGGGGCTAATCATTCCCCATCGCAATCAAGATGGCCGAATGCATGCACGAGTCGGGCGTCCTCATCGTCAAGGACCCTCGCGTATCGATGCAGGACAATGAGACCTTCT